TCAATATAACTTTTTTTAATTATAAATAATGATTTGATTTAAACAAAACTTAATTTGTAATTTTAAAATATCTTATCTTATCTATAGCCATTGTTGATGGAATTTTAAATAATTGGTGACAGGTTGGTTAGGGTTATTTTTTTTTACTTCTGAAGAAAGGATGATTTGTCTTATTTTGACAAAGTAACTTGATTTCAATACCTTTATAACACAAGAAAATTATATGATAATGCGATACTTTGAAATTTTGCCGATTGCGAAAAATTCTTCTTTTGTAGACTAGTTAAACAATAGCTGAAAACAATACTTAAAAATAGCTTTTGGTTTTTTTTTTGTGTATACGAAATTTTCAAATCAACGATCGAAACCACTTGTTCTGGCTTGAATTTTGTTCTGATGAAATTTTTTTTTAGAAATCAACCCTTTTTGAATTACTCTTATATGATGTATTCAAATATATGTCAGTCACATTACAATTGTTCTTCATGATTATGTTTCAAGACTTTTTTTTTCACTATAATATTCGAGCTATTTTATATCATATAACGAAAGAGTAATCTGGATATTATAACCTCAAAAGTGAATTTTAACATCTAAAGGTTTTACTTAGTTATATTACTCATAATCTTTAGAAGTAACTTAAAAAAACAAAATGATGAAACTAAAATAATCATACACAATATATTAGTGATAATATGAATAATGCACACATAACCTAATACAAGAAAAGCACAAAAAAACGATCTGTTACGTTTAACTGAAAAAGAGAAAAGAAGAAACTACTACATAAGTATATACATAAATTGTATACTAATATGTTTACAATTTACTAATTAATATATATTAAAGATAAAGCTAGTTTAATCTATATTTGTGATTAAAGCTTATTCATCAGTTTCAAAATTAGTTACTAACTTACTTACGACATTCCTAGTGGCTATTTTTATAGAAAGACATTTTTCAATATAATTAAATGTTGTATACTTCATCTTAGTACTATTTTAATTAAATATTTAAAATTTAAAAATTAATTTTTTCTCAGGTTAAGGCAATAGATTTTATGCTACCTATCGGAATATGTTAATTTTACCTAATTGATTAAAATTTTTTTTTAATTATTCTTGTTTTTAAACTTTTTTTTTAACATTTTTTTTTTATAATGGTAATTTTTAATTACGTTAAAAGAAGTAATACTAATAGTCTCATTCGTCGTGAATGGTTATTGACTAAACTTAACCAAGCAAAAACAAAGCAAATACATATTTTTTATGGTTATTATAATCTTAAAAAACTTATTGGATTTCTCCTGTAGGTATTCTTATAATTCGTATATATTAGTATAATTCTGTTAAGATCTTATAGAATTATTTAAACTATTTTATTACATTATGATAATATATTATACCATTTAGAATTATTTATCAAATAACAAAAATATAATGATATTACAATGCATTATAGTATTTTATTGTTTTAATAACAAAGTAATTAGATAACTAATAATGCAACTGGCAGTATCTTTATTTACAAAATTAACTTTAATAATTAATTAAAAATAAGTAATATTAATATTATTAATTAAAACTAAATATCTTGCTTCTTAAAGACTTAATACATTTAACTATAATATATATCGTAATGATTTATTTTTTAATTTAATATTAAAATCCTAATTATTTATTATTATAAAGAGAAGATTACGCTTCAAATATAAGATAAGTAATAGAACTATAATTATTCAAGTAATACGATCACAGTAAAAGTAAATCTTATTTTGAGAATTATTTGAAATGAAACATATCTTGAAAAAAATTCAATCTTAATTTAAGCTGGGCTTACGTGAAAATAAGGATAGGCAATCTAAATTTATAATTCTTATTACTTTATTTTTAAATTATTCACTGAATTTAATAGTTGTATCATTTAGTTTTCTCACATTCTATATGATTTCCTTAAATTGAAGATAATCAATGTTCTGATAATCAGCATGAATTTCTCTTTAAATTCAGGAAAATTTATGACTTGTAATTAATCAAGGACTAAAAATAAGTTTTCTTTTACTGTGATATTGTAATTTAAATAAATTAACTGAAATTACCTAAAAGACACTTTCACATTATAACTATTGCAATATGATATATATATATGTGTGTGTGTGAAGATAAATGCTTGAATTTGTTTTGTTCCTTTTAAAATTTTGAGGTTATAATAAAGCTCGAATATATAGTGATAGAATAAAATTTTTTTTTACAGAAAAGTTATGCCAAAGTCATTCTGAGTAATCATGAGAACTTCAAATATCAGAAATATTAAAATTTAAATTAATTAGTAATAATAAGTAGCACTTTGTATTTGTGATACGTATAAATGACATGTGGGTAATAATATCTCTTCTAATTAATTTTGTCTAATCAACAGAGAATTTGCGGGAAACAATATTGATTTAGTATTTCCCTTTTTTTAAAAATAATTTATCTTTTTTTTAAAAAGAAGGAGTTTTCGCAACCGACATCACTTTTGGCTAAGGTGAAACTTAGAATTACCAAACATTTCTTCATACCAGCTGTGTCCTTGAAATCAACCTTGCTAATTAAGCATGGTGGATCATAGTAGAGCTTATCTCAATTACTGATGCATGCCAGGACAAGAATCATTTCTTTTAATTTCGGGAATATTAAATAATTTAATTGATTAATAATAACTTGTTATTGTAACTTATTGTAAATTTTGTTTTAACAATTGTAGATTTAGACCAAAGAAAACATTTTTTTTTTAATTAAGATAATTTCCTTTTTTTTAATAAATAGTTATTGATTTATTATAAGGGACCATCACTAGAACGGAACAAAATTTGAATTCAATTTTCTTTTGGTTTTGTTTAATCATATGAAATCCAAATTTAAATCATTTATGAATTTTGTATTTAAGACGGTAACAAAACTATCACATTCAATTTCGTTTTTAAAAGAAACTCAAAATTTAAATGAACTTTCGGTTCCAATAAATCAAAAGATAAATGACTAAACATATTACATTTACACTAAACTTACAAAATTGTTATTACTTTCAAAAAATTAAAAAACATTAAATGTCAAATGCTTAATCAATTCAATTTTTTTTAGAATAAAGTTTTCTTTAAATTAAACATGATTCATTTAAACAATTTGTTTTAAGCTTACCAATTTTATAAACTTAAAAATTTAATTTTAATTAAAATTATTATTATTATTATTATTATTATTTATTATTATTATTTTTTTTTTTTAATTTTTTTTTTAATTTTTATTTATTTTTTTTTTATATTTTTTATGAGAAAAAGTTTTTTTAGTTTAAAATAAGATTTAATTTATTAAATCTTATTTTAAACTAAAAAAACTTTTTCTCATTGAATATAATAATAAATTTAACATATAGTTTCAAATTGAATAGATTATTATTGTTTTCAAATAATACGATTAAAACTTTTTGAGCTAATGATTTTTTTTTAATTAAATACTATTAACAAAAATAATGTAATAGTTTTTTTTTATTGCACCTTTTTTTTATACGACTTTTGTTCTGTTTAATAAGAACATAACTGAATGAAACGAAAATTTTTTTTGTCGATCCTTGTTTATTGTCAACAATATTTATTATAATTTTCGTCGATTTAAAAATAGAAAATGTTCAATGGCAGGCATCATTAATTGTTATTTTTCTAGATAAAAATACTGAAATTAGCTTACAATATAGGGGGTAAACATGTGCAAGTTTTGTCATACATTATTATTTTATAATTAGGATTGGATATACTCAAGTCAAATGTAAATCACAGTATTTAACAAGTGTTTTATAATTTTTAAATCTGACTTGTAACATTCCTCGCCACCACGGAAATTTTCTGTTACATGTAAAGAAAATTTACGTTGCTAATAAAAGTAAAAATTAGTGTCGGAAAAATGCAATTTTTTAAATTTCAATTTACTTATGAAATTGAAAACAGCCATTCTATTAATTTCCTTGACGTACTAATTATTAAACAAAATGACACCTTAATAACTGACTGGTTTATGAAACCTACTTTCTCTGGACGTTTTTTAAATTTTCACTCCCAACATCCAATATCACAAAAAATTGCGATCGTATATAACTTAATTGATAGAGCTATTAGACTTTCTGACAAAAATTTTCATGAAAAAAAATATCAGAATTGTTAAAAAACTGCTGTGTCAAAATGGTTATCCATTGATTTTTATTAACAAATTTATTAAAAAACGCCTTAACGTTATTCATTCAAACCAGGAACGCAAAAATAAAACATTTTATTACAAAAAGGTTAAAAAGAATACTTTGCCATATTCAGAATTTTTATGTAATAAAACTTCAAATCTTTTACATGAATACAATATAATAACAATTCCAAAATCTAATGACAGTTGTAATTACATAAAAAAGGCAAAGATATAACAAATAAAAAAGAAAAAACTAATTGTGTTTATAAAATAAAATGTAAAGACTGTTCTGCTTCTTACGTGGGGGAAACTAAGAGAATGTTGAATGTGAGAATTGACGAACATAAAAAATCCAAAACAAATGTTATTGCTGCGCATAATCGAGTGCTAAAACACGATTTTGATTGGGATGGTACATCGATTCTTGATAGTGAGCCTATTTGGCGTAAGAGATTGATCTCTGAAATGATACATATAAATTTATAAAAAAAAATCTTTAAATAGAAAAAAAGATACTATAAATTTAAATCAAAGTTATAAAAAATTTTTCTCTAAGAATTTCGGATAATAATGTTACACTAATTTTTATTTTTAATTTTATATTATTCATAATTATTTTCTATCAATATAGTATATTTTCATAGATCATTCTCTATTAGTGTGTTTACACCTACACTTATAAGAAATCTCATTAGCATTCATTCTACAGGTCATTGACTTGCAATTATAAACAAAGTTTGATTATTGTAATGACAATTTTTCTCTCTGCGTTAGTTTAATATGTGATGTCCGACAATGAATATTAATTGATAAGTGCTCGTGATGTCTTTTTTCGGTAATAATTAATTTATATAAATTTTTATTTGTTATTTAATTTTTTTATATTTTCTTTTGTAAAAATTTTATTTAAATTAAAATAAAAATTTTTTTTAGTTCTGAAGAGGACGGCTGTGACTGTCGAAACGTAAAAATAGACATATTTGTTTTTTATTATTAACCTGACTTGGATTGATTGATATACTCTCATATATTGTTTTATTATTTTTTAAAGTCTTCAAAAATTCAAAAAAAAATTTGAAAAAATATTAAGTCACATTTTTATTAAAAAATTTTTCTTTTTTTTTAGTAATGACAGTATGAAAATTTATTCAAAAGTATAGGCATGTTATAATGAGACAGATATACTAAAACAAGAGGTAGGCTTAAAATTTAACTTGAATAAATTTAAACTGTAGAGAATAGCTTGATTTTAAAATCTTATATAAATTTTCATAATTCAATTATATTAACTCAAATACTATCAATAATAACTATAAACATTTTAATTTGCATTTTGTTTAAATTTTATTACTTTAATTTATGATAGCTTATTTCAACTATTGTTTTGGGTAATTTTATATATTTTTTTTTACTAATCAGTGTCATATTTTATAAAGATTATGTTGATTCTGCATTTACATGTTTTTTTTTACTAAATTTACTATTATGCTTTATCAACTATTCACATTATTTATAGATTAAGAATCAGGATTTACAATCCAATTGAAAAATAGGTCACTGAGAGATCTTAAAAACAAGTAGAACCATATAAAATTTAATATGGCAGCCTTAAAAAGTCTGGAAATCTGGGATCCTTTTTTTTAATTGATATGGTACTATTCTAACCATATAAGAATCAAAATTATAATAAGTATTCCAATGAACGGAACAATGTATTAGATTTTGTTATGATAGTTTAAAGTACTTAGAACGCTCTAGTTCAGGAATGTCACTTCTTTAGTTCCTTTATATATTAAATTCAGAAATATATCTGAGCTTACAAGAAACTAAGTTACTAAAAAAAAAAGACGAATATTCAGTAGGGAAAAAAAAGCTTTTTCTTAAAATGAGAATTAAAAATTAATTTCTTTTATTAAAGAACTATTTTTATAATAAATAATTAAAAGTAGATTTAAATAAATTCAAAGATAAGTTATTTTATTCAATTTAAAAATTTAAGTTAATTTAGCAAATCATATATATATAGATTAAAATTTTTTTTTGAACAATTTTAATTTACTCTTTAAGTAATATTTAAGTGACTGATATTTTATAGATATTCACATAAAATGAATATATTTATTAAAATTGAAAAATGATAAATTAAATTAATTCACAGATGCACATTTACAAATATTAAATATAATTATTATAACCAAAATCATAAACAAAAGGTTTGGTCTTTAACCTAATTTTCTATATTGTATTGTCAGAGAGTGGTACGTTAAAATTAAACCTAAAATTATAATATTATTAAACACCATATTAAAAGCGATTTTCTTACTTTGAAATAATAGTACCTACATTAAACTCTAAATCGAAAAGTCTCTCAGTGTAGTGACAATAAACAATTTAATCAACAATTCGAATAGCGTTGATGCAAATTTGAATTAATAGGTGATCAATTGTACCACAGTGTTATTCTTTTCTTCTGTCCTAATGCTTTGTATTACGATTTCTCATCCAGAAGTTCAAAAACTGGCTGTGGAAAGGGATTGTCTTGGCATTGAGAGAAATTCAGATAACTGATGATAAAATCTTAAATATTTGTTCTGGATTACTGCTTTCCTTTTTACCTTTTAATTTTACCTAAATTTTTTTAGTAATTTTTAAAACCAACATAATTAAATTTTTTTTAGAATAATATATTTATGGTGAGTAATATTAATTTATTTAAAAACGTGGCTTTAGTAGTCATGATATTTTGTTTTTAATAATAGCAGATTTTTTTTATTATTATTAATTCAATTAAAAGATTCCATAAAATTCAATTCAGTAAAATGATTCGATAAAATGCTTTACAGTGTTTGCGAGAGTGTCACTATGCATGTTCGAATTACTACGAACTTTAAGTAAAATACAAACCAGAAAATTAGTTTAAAATTTTAATGAAACTTTAAGGTTTAAAAAAGAAATAGAATCTCCATTTTTAGGTAACAGTTTCAAATATTGTAATAATACATAGCATTAAGAATATTTATAACAGATATGTAATTAAAATAAATAATAATTAGATTTTTAATTAACAGACTAAAATAATAACGTTATAAATAGAATATTCATGTCTAACATGCAGATGCATTTTCTTCATTTTTTTTTAAATTTATTTATTCATGACTTATACGAATTTTTTTTTATTAACTTTCTTATGAATTTTGTAAAAAGATACAAAAACTAAACAAGAATTTACAGATAAATATCAAGATAAAATCTGTAAGTGCTTCTTTAAAATGTCTATTTAAAAACATGTAGTAATATCAACAAACACTAGTAATAAAAATTTTTTTTATTGAATAGCAATTTCAAAATCTCTTTGTTGAAAAAATTTTTTTTAATTCGAAATCGTATTTTAATATTAATATTATTAATTAAACAAGTAAATGTTTAAATAAAACATGTGTATAATTTACTCTGTATGAATACGTGTATGTGTACACATTGTACTTTTTAGTTACAATGATACAGAAAGAATATACAAAGAAAGTATTAGAATTTCACCACCACGGAAATTCTCTTTTACCTGTGATAGAAATTTCAGTAAAGATAAGAAAACTGTTATTTAATTTTGCTGCAATAAATTTTTTTAAAGTAGAGAAAATTTTTTTTTTATACAGAAGTTTTGTAACATGTGAATCATAGTTTGTCGCTCATCTCTTTAAACGTGTGGATTAGGTGTCATAATCTTTGATAGAAACCTGATACACAAGTTCGAGATACGAGCAGTTCTCATAGGATTCGCATATTACTATTTTATCACTGAAAATTAAAGACTAACAGCAAGAAAAGAAATTTAGAAAGTTTAGAAAACGTCTGCTAAATCAATCGATTGATTAATTGGTTGATTGACTAACCAATGAAACTCACTATAAAGAACATCCATGGTCATACCATAACCATTATTCAATATTCACAAGATATTGATTGAACATTAAATGAAAATCTTTATGATATCCCAATTGAACAATTTTAGGATAATCCATGGATACTCTCCTCATTAGGGAGAATAACTCTTCAACATATTTCCAAGTTATCCCTTGGATATCTCGAGTATGTAATTTGTGCATCTACAATTAGCCAGCAAAAATTTATTTTAAATATTAACGAAGAATCTCAGTATAACCGTTGAATATCCTAGAAATATCCGACTGTTGTCCTTCAAATTACCAGAGATGTTATCTAAAAATTGATTTAGAAAAATGGTATATGTGTTGAATTAACTTATTTACAAATTACAATTATATTTAAAAAAATATCCGTACAACATCCCAAAGATATCCAAGGAATATCCTCTAAATATAAATTTTTTTTTCATTTCCTTTTTTTTACTATTTTTTTTTATTTTCAAATTTTCCTATTTCTTTTTCTTTATTTCATTTTTTTTTACAAAAAAAAAAACTTTTTTTTTTACTTTTTTAAAAAATTGCATAAAAATGCAATTTTTTTTTCTTTTTTTTTAATTTCTCTTTAAATTTTCATGTGCCTTTTAAATGCGATTAAAGTTAAGTTAATTAAAAAGAAATTTATAAGACAGTGAAGTACTCTTCTTTTACTGTAGTCCGCAAGACACATGAAATATGATCAGTGGCGTGTGTAAGAATACCACTGGGACAATATTTTTAGAAAGAATATGGAAATGAGAAAAACTGATTGAACAGAAAAGAATTTTTTATTTATTACAAGCATTATAGAAAAGCCTCGAATTAATACTAATGTAAATTCGAGGAACTGTTCTGATAATTTTTTATTTAATTTGGAAATAGAGAGGCATGCAAAAGTTTATTTCTACTTAATTTTAAAAGTTACATAAAATTTAAAAACTCCTGAAACTTCAAGGTGATAACGGAACAAAAAGAACAACTTTAGATTAAAACAAGTTAAATATTTTTTAAAAATAAAAGGCCTACGTAGTTTACAAAAATATAAAACGATTTAACATAAAGCAAATAATTAAAATCAATTAATCTACTAATTAATGTTTTGAAAAATTATAGAACCTTTTCTAGCATGCTTAGCTAGATATTTATTTTTTTATTTCTACCTTAAGCAATATAATTCAATGTTATAGCAGATTTATGTTATTATTATTATTATTATTATATAACTATATTACACAATTATCATCTTCATAATAATAATTATTAGTATATTATAGTTATTATTATAATTTAGTACTATTATTTGAAGAAAAGTTATTGATACATCGCAAGAAAACTTATCAGGTCAGAATAACGATACTGTCATTGTTAAAATTAGTTATTTGTTTAAAACTCTATAAAAATAAATTAGTAAGAATTCATAACAGACAGAATTGGTGCCTCTTTTCTAGAAATACGAGAAATTCAATTTTAAGTAAAGAAAAAAGACTAATTTATTTTTCCTGTGTCAACCAAAATTTAAATTTTACTAATTCGGGATAAAATAACGTAAATAAGTGAAATGGACTAATTTTTTGATTTTTAAAATGACACTAAATTTTCTGATTTTATTTTAGCATTTTTGTTTTCACTTTAGTTTGAAAAGTGTATAATTTATTTCAGCAGAATTTTCTTTTTGTCTGAAACGTTATGGTTCGCAATTTTAACGGACATTTTGGAATTTGAAATTTAGAATGATAGAAGAAAAACATTTTTTTTATTAAATAGTGCGATAAGTTTAACAAATTTAGCGCGGAATTCCATAATCACTAAGCAATTTATATTTTATTCCAATCAAGCTCGTTTCTATTTCTCATCAGCTGTCTGAATTCAATGTTTCAATTATTCGAGTCGTCATCAACAACCTTTCGGTCGGAGAGCC